TACCGAGGTTATCGTTGAGCGTGCGACAGAGGCACGCGAGAATGATCATGAAAGAAACTGAGCAAAACTATATGAGTTTCAAGGTTGGTGAACGTAATGTTGTTGTTGCGTTCTGTCTTAAGGTTATGATTATGCATTCGGGTTGATTGATGTTTGGCCATTCAGTTTGGAGGAATTTTAATTCCATCCCACCAATCACGTGTAGGTTGAGCTGAAAGGTCAATGAAACCATACCAGACCCAGTTTATCAACATGAATGTCATGGCGGGTGTTTTGACAGTGCAGACGACGTTGTTTTTTTTTGGTTTCCTCCTGTTCTCTGACATGTTGATTGAAATCTTCAGAACATCACCGTTTGTCAGTTTGAGCTCTCTCTAAGGAAAGCTGAAAAGAAAAGACATGGAACGAAACAAGACCATGGTCGATTTTGCCAAGCTTTGCCACGAAGCTTCGGAATGATTCGCCGGTCATGTTGTCAATGTTGCGTTTGTATCATTCAGGTAGAAAAATGATCAACACAGTCACGGTTTGCTTATAGTTTAAAATATTTTGGAGGCTAAGCGACATTCATGGGAAATTTTACAAGCATATGCGATTGGTGACGTTATATCAATGACATTATTACCACCTGGTTGGTGATGGTGCTTTCATACCCGTCCCGTCTAGGGCACTGATCACGGCAGCACCATCATATCCATCCGGGTGTGTTTGAAGATGTGGTACCCCACAAAATGGCAATTTGAATAGGGACTGATGATTAACCAATGCATTTAGGGGTACCATGGGGTACCCTATTTTCAGACACAGCCGTCCTATAACTTCTCACTGAGGACATGGACGCAGACGGCAGCGGTTGCTTGTGCTGAGTGGCGTATCAGGGTCCCGGATAGTAAAGTCACCAGTTTACTAATTGATATTATTTGATATTATATTATACACAGTTTACTTGTATTGGGGGTGCGGTATACTGTATATTTACAGAAAGCCCGGGAAAAAGATAAAACAGTAAAATCCTATTCAAATAGTGAGCATTTCCCTGTTTTACCTTTTTCTTCCCCTATTTTTCCAAAACTGCTATTAGGTCTTTGCTGTTCCGAGATTTGTCCTCATTTTCGACAATGGTTCCAAACTTAAACATTGTGTGGCGTGTAGTTTTGTAAAAATATGGAAAACTCCCAACATGATTTGGCTGCATAGCCTTGTTTCTGGGCTGTGGCAGGTGTGAAGCATATGGTTTCCATTTCCATAAATATGTTGGATCTGATTGCCAGGCAATAGTTTACTAAAGGCAGATCCTGACTTGAGCCTAACAAAGTGTAGAGAATCAAGTGTCTGCCACATATGGGTATCAACATTTTGGGCTCGTCACGGGACTGCATATCGTGGTCATGTTTAAAGGACTTTAAAGGATTAATCATCATGAGTACCCAATTTTGACCCAAACCTTGGATTTGACACTCCGGTGATGCCATCGCCAGGTTCGTTGTCGTTGGACGAGATGTTGAGGGGATATGATGAGAACGACTCCTTCCGGAAGCTCATGGCGTCTTGGAGGGGAACAACATGGACTATTGCTGGGTCAATGGGCCACGGATGATGTGTGAAACAACAAGATAATCAGAACAAGGTGAGGTGTGACAATTGTTCAGGTTGAAGTATGTAGAAGTCGTACAATGGGAGGCCATGGGAGGCCCATTAATCTGCCGCGTATTTCTGATGACCCAATGATCACGTAGTCTTTCTGTAGATTTCACAGGTTGTAGCAGACGCAAGAACCCGCCCCAGCTCTGAAAAGTGGCTTGCAGTGCCAACACAAACACAGTTCCAAGTTCCGGTCAATGTTTATTTTTAGAAAATTGTTTCACTGTTTCACTCTTTCGTCGGAACCTCCCTGCCTCACCTGTGCCATTCTGTTCCTGCATCGCACTGGAGAAGAATGGAGCAAGAAAACGGTGGCAAACTGAGCGATCAGGACATTATGGACATCAAGCGCGAAGACATGGACGCTTGCCAAGAACCGTTTGCCCTAGCTTCAGGCTAGAAAATGTGTTTCCAACATTGAAAGGACCAACAAGCCACAACAGTGGCATATATTCCTGGGAGAACCCTCAGGTTTTTCCATGTGATTTCGGCTTTCACAAAGAGCCTATGAGGTGTTATTGAAAATTCCACCATTGCATTGGTTGCTTTAGTGCCGCTAGGAAGATTTGATTTCCGCACGTGCTGAGATGCGTGAGAGAACAATCCAACCGGCCTTGCCATTCATGATTTGGACGCGTATACCATTCGGCGGTTCAACACGAAAAATCACCATTGTTTAATCGGTAAATCAATGTAAATCAGTTTTGTTTCATGGGCCATTTTCCAGAACAAAGTGTTAGATTGGCTGGTAGTCAGCTGGGCCTTGAGGAAACCATCTTCCGAGTGTTGGACGACGACTGCTCGGGCGAAGTTTCCTATATTGAGTTTTGCAGCTTGAAAGAAGTACTGCCGTGAGCCTGAGGGGACGCAATGGGGGTCAGTACCTCGCTATAGGCCTACGTCACAAATATATATATATATTATAATAATTATTTGCAAGACTATCGATATATCATATATCCGAACATGAGTCGACAGACTTGCACAAGTGGATTAAAGATCATCATCGGGACATTCTGATTGAGTCATATACTTACAAATGCATTCTATGCTCATTCACAGGTGGACTAGAAACTCTTTCAGCGTCTCTGCGCACCTTGGCTGGTCGTCTCCTGTACCTCTAGCTCCCACTGTCCCCAGTCCCCAGTCCCACCTAAAGATAGATCCTAAAGGTGTGTAGCCAATGAATTCCAATATGTTTTAGGCCTTGTGCTGTACCTCTAGTTACTCTAGTTGTTCCCACTGTCCCCAGCCCAAAGTCCCCCCTAAATATAAACCCTAAAGGTTTGAATCCACATCCAAGATTGTCGGCCTAAGTGATCCAAAAAGTCATCCTAAGTGATCCTTGGACCCACAAGGGAGATAATAGTGGGATAGAAGATGGTATAACTAACTCTACACTGGCCTTCTTTGCAAATACCCCATGGAGATTTGCATTTGCTTTGCAAACTGTCAGTATTTTACCCAGTCTACGCTTTGGATCCATTGCTTCAATGACTTCATCCTTGTTTGGTCCGCCACTGTCACAGGATCTCATACCCCATTTCTATGTAGGAGGCTTCTGTAGGCATCCAAGAAGAGGTGCATCCCTATCTCCTTTCCTCACCCACCTTGAGTTTATAAGATTGATTCATTGCCAAACATGGCGATTGAACATTCCCCATTAATATGTTATTTATGGATGGTTATGATGTACACACAATATATATATATTAAATACATTATATATAATTTCATATATATATAGTTATATATATATATACATAAGGTGAATTATATTGCTTTAATAGAACTTGACTTTCACATTGATGTGTTTTTTCCAAAATGCCGTTCCTCAGTCAAAATTTTGTCGATGGAATATTGTCCCAGCTTCGGCCGATTGAATCACCGTAAGTTAAAATGATAAGGTTGACTAAGCGAATAGATAACACATGCCTGTATATTTTGCATCACCAACACAGTACAATTATAATATATATATACTTATATTTATTAAACGTGGTGTATCCCATCAACATCACCGGGATACTAATCCAAAGCAGCCATTCTTGCCCTGTTACCGGCCGTTACCGTCAGGTCAGCACTTGGCGAGTTTTTGGGAACGAGACCCCGTGATGTTGCAATCCTTGGTGAAGCATCCTGGCCCGGGGCTGCAATGGCAACGGCTCAGCATGAAATGATGGGAATACATAATAATACGCGCACACACACATATATATATATACATATATATATATATATATACACATACTGTTCATATTATATATATATATATATGTGTGTATGTATATGTAAATATGTATATGTGTGTGTGATAAAGTATGGTTTGATCAAGTACAGGGGCATTTTATGAGATATGTATATATTATTGTTGGCCTTTGGATGCACAGATTGGGCTGTGGGATGATGTAGCGACCCCCTGGGAGCAAGGCCAATTTTGAAGTTGACTTTGCCCTAAAATGGCCTGTAGATTGGAAAGATTTGAAGATCATGGCTGAGACATCCTGCATTTTGTTTTTTACCAATGTTGATTTGGATTGCATCAATACATTGATGTAGACATGTTCGTGTTTTCAGCATGTGACCGGTTATTTCCGTGAATTCCATTTTGCTCAGCTGACCCAAGAGGGTGCATTTTAGAATATGATGGAATGATGTGAGATGTAACAATTTTGATCTCATCAGCTGGATTTGCTCACTCACTTTTGAATAGCAGAACTCGCAAGTAACAAATGACTGAAACGGTTCATTGATTGAACCTCAAGATGGCTTGCAGCCATTCAATCAATGAACCTCAAGATGGCTTGAAACCATGGAAGTTTTCACTGAACCTTGACCTGCCCATCTCACTGGTGGTTTCAAGTTGGAATTTCCACACCGGGGATGATCTCCAAGGACTGTACAAGCCACTGTAGGACTGTAAGGCTTTGTAGGAACCATGTTGGAACCACTAACCGCCACTGTGCTGAGGTATTCCATCATGGAGATCCGGAAAGTCATGGGCCGTGCCAGCTGGAAGCATCCAAGATGTTGGATGTTTGCAGGTCACCATTGAAGCAGTGTTCAAAACCCCCGTTGGTTGATGAATGTTGATGATTATATCGTATTACACTATGGTTACACTATCGGCCACTATGGGGAAATGTGAGATTAAGACGATTAAAACTTTGATTTTCAGGGAGAACACAAGGACCCATACTGACCCATACTGTCCATTGCCAGCTCAGACTTTCTGAATATAGCATGTGCTAATGGAACTTTGTTTAACAATTCAATGGGAATTGTTCAGTTTCCAGATTGCGCCAAGGAGATCATGGACACTCTCAAAGAACATAGCAAGATTCTCAGGGGGAACTGAGGAAGCTAAAAGAAGAGCAGGCTCAGCAGATTCTCAGTCAGATGGATGCTATTGGTCTGAGCCCTGAGGCTTTGCTGGAGCTGCATCAGAAAAGGCAGAAAGATGGTAAGAAGCCAATTCCTGAAGATCAAGTTTCTGAGCCTCCTGGTACCAGCAAGCCTGAAGCTGCAGTTCCTTCTGAGGCTGACAGGGCTGAGTTTGAGTCTTGTGGTCCAGCCACCAAGAAGGCAAGACTTGAAGAGCCCCAGCAGTCTTCTGAGATGGTGGAGGTCATTGTTGAGGATGAGATTGAGTAATTTGAAGCCTGAGCAAAAGACTTAGGATTTCTTTGCAATATCTCAGCTCAGACTGAGTTGTGTCATCACATGCCATGACAAGCAGCTGGCAGTGGAAAAATGCATTTGATGGGCTGAGGTGGTTCTGTTGTTGTTGCCATTGTTTTTTTTGAACTAGTTTCACAAGAACTACGTGTAATTAATACATTGTAATTAATTAATTGATGGTTCATCTTGGTTCAGTGCCCATGTAGTTGACCTTGTCCTTATATTTTTCCCCTGACAGGACCTGAGGGTGTGGCTTAGAAGATGCTCACAGAGAACAATCAGAGATGTGGCTTAGAAGATGCTCAGAATGATGGCAATGCTTAGAGAGGACTCAGGGTTGGTTCTGGGGGTGTGGGGTTGGCTCTCAGCTTGCCCATGGTCTTGGACTTGTGCCCATGGTCTTGGACTTGTGCTTATGTGATTCCTCAGCTGATTAGTGAACTCAAGCACATAGTCAACTTTTGGCCTTCCAGCTCAGCCAGCTGCAACTCAGCAACTGAGCCATGGCAAGGAACACTAAGGATCACTCAGAATTAGTTCCATCTGGCATGGCATTTACTGTCAAGGGTGGCCATGCTCAGCTCAAGCTCATTCCAGAAAGCTTTCCCTCAGTGGATGACCTCTTTGCTCAGGGATCAAACCCTGAGAGGGTCATCAGCTACCCTCGCTATGATGGAGAGCCTGATGTTGCTTGTCCTGGGTGCAATGCTAAGGTGAAACTCAGCAGGATCCCATTTCAGAATGGGTGCAAAGACTGCAAGGACATGGGTTTGAACATGTGTGCATGCATTTGTTCTTTGTGTCTCTGAGCATGGGTGCATGGCCTTCATCAATCAATTGATTAATTGAAAAACATATTAATTACTAAGTTTTAATATCTGATTGAAAGTTTTCTTCACATCTTTTGCAACCTTGCAGGATGTCAATGGGTGGCCTCAGAGAGTCATTGCTCAGTATTATCAGGTGATTCTCAACATGACCCCATTGCCTTGGCAGAAGTTTGTCTCAAAACCTTACTGGACAGCTCAGTTCAAGCACAAACTGAAGCCACCTAAGCCTGCTGAGCCTCCTGGTTGTCAGCAACCTCAAGCTGCACCTGATGCTGGATCTTCTCAGCCACCTAAAGCTGCTACCTTTGCTATGGCTGCTCAGACTGATGACAGCACCTTTGTTCAGGGGTACTGCAAGTCATTGCTTGCTCAGATTGGCCCTGAGAATGGCATCAGGCAGGCTATCAATCAGCTGAAGGGGATGGACCTTAGTCCTGATGTCTCTGATGTTCAGGAGCTGGAAGCTATCATCTCTCAGAAGCTTCTGCTTGTTGAGCAAGCCTATGCTGCTCAGGATGCCACTATGCAGAGGATCTCCACAGATGCCCAGCAGATGGCTGAGGAGCAAGGTGTCTTAGGTCAGCTCAGGCTTGACATCTTAGATGCTCAGGAGAAGCTGAAAGGTTTCCTGGCTCAGAAGAAGGAGGAGGAACAGGCTCAGGAGGAACTGAGAGAAGAGCAGGCTCAGCAGATTCTCAGTCAGATGGATGCTATTGGTCTGAGCCCTGAGGCTTTGCTGGAGCTGCATCAGAAAAGGCAGAAAGATGGTAAGAAGCCAATTCCTGAAGATCAAGTTTCTGAGCCCCCTGGTCTCAGCAAGAAGCAAAGGATTGAGAAGCCAGAAAAATCTGACTGAATTTGATCTCAGCAAGCTGTTGCAAAAATGTCAGCCAGATGAGACTAGTCAGAGGTCCCAGGGCTCAGCCATGTCTGCCAACCCAGACAACAAGTAGTACAGCTTCTTGGAGCCTGAGGAGGTATGACTCAGGTGCTTTCATGCTGAGCAATGCTTAGTCAGTTCATAAGTCTTGGCAGCATGTTGAAAAGCTGGCAGAAAAATGAGTGCAGTTCTGCATGGATGTGGGTGGTTTTGGCACTGCTGCTGGTTGTTGTTGGGGTTTAGAATAGTTAAAGTATTAACTAATTACTTTAGTTACTTAGCATAAATAATGGCATGAATATGGTGTTGGGCATTGTAATGGTTCTTCTTAGTGCAGTGCCCATGAATATACTGTTCCCCCTGGCAGGACCTGAAGATGTGAAGAAAAGTCTCAGGGCTACATCATCTCAGCAAGCACAGTAAGATTCAGCCGATGCACTTCTGATGGGGCCTAGGGGACTTCTACTTTTTAGAAGCTTGGCACAGCCCAAGCAACCCTCAGCCATGACCTGGTCATGATTTTTTGTCTACTTGATGCATTCTCAGCATGCATTGCATCAGCTCTTCAACAGCATCATATTTCAGATGCACTGGATGAAAAAGTGGCTTGGAGCTGGCTGCAATCACTCAGATTTGACTTAGCATGATCAGGGGAGGATGTTGTCACTACTAATTAATGCTTAGCTAAGGATCTAGGCCACACATGGGAAAGGCTATCTAAAGTAGAATTTATATAACTTAGCATACTAGGCATACTTAGGTTGGCTGCAGCCACTACTAAGCCTTGGCACTGAGTGTTGGCCACCCTAAGTTGGTGACATTCCTTTCTAAGTTTTCATCTAGGGCTGTTCTGAGCCTCCATGCTACCACAGCAGCATCCAACATCCAAGCTTCAGCACTCTTTGCACCCAGTTGCAACTGCATTTGCTTCCTGGCTTCTCAATCAAGTTTAGTCATGTTTTTGTTTCCGGTTATTTTTTTTTTAAATAGGATGAACTAAAACATAATCAATTAATTAATGGCATGTGTTTCCATGTGCTTCCATGGCAGCCAAGGCTACAGCCATGAATCTTCAGCTGAAGGCCTTTGTGATCCTCAGCTTGATGGCTTCATCTGGGCTGAGCCTCTCAAGTTCCTGAGCTTGCACCTTATTGTTGATTGCTAATTAATTAATTATTTATAATTAATTAATTAATGATTTTGCAGGAGATAAACCTAGTCTTAGACACAGTAGCACAAATATCATGTCAGCCTTTGAGCTAGTCTGTCTTCAGCATCTCAGTCTCTTGAGCACCATGTGCCTCAGCAGCTTTTTCTGATCTCAGCCCATCAGCAACCTTCATCAGCATCAGTCATCAGTTCTTCTCTTGGAGCCATGGGACCTCAACTGAAGATGGTTTGCATCATGGCTCTTGCTTGCAGCACAGGCATCAGCTTGGCTAGCATCTCAGCTACATAACAACTTGTTTTTGGGTCCTTGGATCGCATGGTTCAACATGTTTTTGTTCATTCCTCAGATGGTAGCCCTAGGTGGTACCTCAGTGGACCTACAGGCTAGGCTCAGCCAGCTACCAGATGTCATTCATGCACCTCAGGTTGCTTCTTGGCAGCAAGCAGTACCATATTTGGATCAGCTGTTAAAAATTGCTTAGGCCAATGGTAAAAACTACTTGTTTGTTTTTGCCTGGGAGCATAACACAACACCAGGCTTGGCTCTCAGCTTCATCTTCCTCCTGGGACTCAAGACTGAGCTCAGCACCTTGGTGCAGGTCCTGCAGAACCTCAGAGATGACCTTTGGTATGCTTCTGATCATTCTCAGCAGAGGCTTGACTTCATCTCAGAGAAGGTCAGGGCCATGGAGCTCAGGATGGATATGACTGGAGGAAGTACCTGGGACACCCTGAGGCATCTCAAGCAGCATTTTGAAGAGTTTGACCCTCAGGCAGGTGGTGCAGCTTTGTTCTCAGAATTCTTAGTGAAGAAGCGCTGGGCACTTCTCAGTGGACCTGTCTCCCACTGGGACCAAGAAGCTCAGTTCACAGAGTGGAACTTGCTGCTGAGCACTGCTATCTTAGCCACCAGGGAGGGTGTCATGTACAATCGGTTCCTCAGGGTGCTTGAATTCATTTGGTTTCCTTTTTTTGTGAAGAGGAACATGTTGTTGGATGTTTTTTGTTGAGGTCTTTTGGTTTCTTGAAACCTTTTCAGCCAGCTCAGGCACTCTACAGCAGGACTGCCTCAGATGAAGAGCTCAGGCAGGAGACCCTGGTGGTGGAGAACACTCAGCGACCTGAGCTCTCAGTACTTTGGGCCCACACTGAGAAAAGCATGGAAGAGGTGATGGACTCAGCACATCCTTTCAGCTGTGCTAAGCACCATTGGCTCAGTGCTTCTAGCAGGGAAGCAGGACTCAGAACCAAGGCTGGGAGGCTCAATGTGCTTAGCAGCATAGACCTCTCAGATGTGGCTGAGCCTGACCTACTTTCTCAGTGGAACACTGAAACTGAGGTGCAATGGCACCTCAGTAATCTACAGGCACAGAATGAATGCTGAGACAATACAACAGCTCAGCTTATCTGAGCAGCGTTTTTGGAAAAAGAGTCTGCCTCAGTATCCAACATCAGTAAGTAATTAGTTAATTAATTAGTTAGTAATCATTTGGTGTGGTTTACTTAATTAATTAGGCAACTAGCTCTTTTCTTAGTGTATTTTTGTTTTGCACCAAGCCTGCACTTCAGGTTGCAATGCTATTGACCTGGCAGTGAGGCTGAAGGACCTCAATCCTATTTTTTCCTCAGCTGAGCTTGACCTTGGGCACAGCTTAGTGTTGCCTATTTTCATGTTTTCAATTTTCTATTTTATCAACAAGTTTCTTATTATGTAGGTAAAGGTGACTCTTGTAACATGAATGCAATGTTGCAAAACTCAGGGATGGCTTGCATTCACTTCTTTGCTCCTCTTCACCCTGAGCATCCTTTTCAAGCCACTCAGTAACTTGAGAGCCCTGGTCACTCAGATGCAGCTGCTCAGGGATGAAGCTTGTTGGCACTTGAGTATAATTTTGTGCATCTGAGTTGCTTGAGGTAAACTCATTATAATTACAATTCATTGTATAGTTAAATTATGTTTATATCTTTTGGGATCTTTCATTGAACCAGCTAGGAGATGAAGAAGCTCAGCAAATCCTTTGAGCAGTGGCTCAATTACTACAGCTCAGCAGTTCATTACTTCAAAGGAGCTCTCAGCAGGCAGGAGGAACTCAATGTCCTTCAGGGCTTGGACATCTCAGACATCCTGGAGCCTTTGCCCAAAGAAAGATGGAGAAAGGGTTTTGCTTTTTTTTCACTCCCAAAAGTTGGTGCTCACAATAGAGTACCATCCAAACAATTATATTATTGAGTAACTGAGCCACTCATGAGGTACCCCTTTGAAAAATTGTCTGGATGCTGTTTTTAATAAGGGTTTAATAAGGCATCTAATTATTTGGGAAACCTTGCATTTTACAGCTTTAACACAACTATGGCTTTCTAAAGTGAAAGGGCCAGCT